GGGGGGGGGAGGGAGGGAGAACCGGGTCCCGCTGGGATAAGAGACAGAGGAGGAGGGAACGGACACTCACATGCGGAAGTGCAGCTCCTTCCCGGAGGTGAACGCCAGCCAGTGGGGGGGCAGCGTCTACCATGGCCGGCATTGGGCGGGAAAGTCAGTGGAGGCAAAGGGGAAGAGGCAGCAGCCAAAGGGCGATGCACGTCGGGAAAAGGGGGGACAGGGAGCCCCCCGCCCCCCCGCTGAAGGGGCGGCCCCTTGCGCCGGTTGCCCTCACGCACCTGCTTGGCCTCGGCCAGCTGCGACGACGGGACCAGCACCAGAAGCCGAGTTCGAGCGTCAAGCGACCCCGGGAGCAGGGCCTGCACGGCGGCGGCCAGCCCGCCGGTCCCGGCCGCCGGCAGGTCCCCCGGGGCTAGGACCACCACCACGAGGCCGATGTCCTGGCTGTCGGCCTTCGACAGGGCCAGCCCCGGCCAGTGGTGCACGACCAGCGCGCGGATGATGCTCCGCCGCAGGGCGCGCAACACCTCGGGGAGACGCGCGGCCCGTGCGGCGTTCAGCCCGGCCGCCGGGATGCGCTCCTCCGCGAGGCCGGCCAGGATCTCCCGCAGGGCGAGCACATCGCGGCCCAGGAAGAGCGTGCTCCGGAAAACCATGGCCGAGAAGATGTCCCGGATGAGCCCCGAGCTCGGTGGCCCGGCGTCCACCGACAGGAGGAACCCCACCCGGGGGAGGGCCGACATTTTGGCCTCGGCCGGTGCCGCCGCAGGGGCCGGCATGTCGGTGGGCGGCGCCGTGGGGGGCAGCTTGATCGCCGGCATCGACACAGCCGGGGACCATGTCTGCCGGGAGGCGGGCCCGGCGAAGGGGCACATAGTCAGTGGCCGTGCACCTGTGCACCGACATGTCACGCGAAGCTTGGTACGCACCCCGAAATCCACCAGCGCCAAGCTGGGGAAAAGGCCCCGCAAGGCGTCAGCCGGGCCGGCGCCCAGGGGGTCCGTGCAGAGGAGCACCATCGGCGCGCCGGAGGACCTAGACGAGCAGCAGGACCGGCCCCAGAGGGGGGAGGGGGCGGGGAGCAGGTAGTCACCGGTGAGAAAGAAGTCGAGAAGGGGAAGGGGGGGGGGCCGGGGAAGGAAAAGGCCATAGCCACGGCAGGGCGTACTTCAATGCCCGGACAAGATCCACCAGCTCGGCCAGGCCGTCTTCCGAAGGGAGGCCCGCATCGAAGTGAGACAGGATGATCCGGCGCAGGGGTTTGAGATTCGCGGCCTCGCTGGCCAGGGCCTCATGCAGGGGCCCCGCGTGGCCGATGGCTGCCACCACCTTGGCCTTGGAGATGCCTGGCGCTGCGTTACAAAGGGGGCAGCAGGGGGACGCCAGTGGGTCAGGACAGGCGCGCGCGCGCGTATGCACACAACTACACACCACGGATCGGGGGCAGGCCGGAGGAGGGATAGGGCAGACGTACTGAAGGTTTTCAAGCCAAGGTAAATGTTCGGGAAGGCCAATGGGCAGCCCGGCTGATTGAAGAAATCCCGTTGCCCGGTGAAAATCTGCTGGCACCCAGCGACCGACTGGGCAGTCCAGAGGGCTTGTATGGTCGAGTGGGCCAAATCCGCCGCCGGGAGGAAGAGGGTGTGTCCGAGCGGAACAACCAGTGCCTCGGGGACGCCCTGTACCACGGTCAAGCTGCCAGGCTGGGCACTGCACATTTGGATGTGTGTGTGTGTGTGTGTGTGTGTGTGTGTGTGTGTGTGTGTGTGTGTGTGTGTGTGTGTGTGTGTGTGTGTGCGTGTACGTGCGTACGTGTGTACGTGTGT